GCTGGCGCAAGAATTCCTCACGAACGCAAAAACCCTCGACGCGACCCCACCGGGACAACCCCCAAGGCCACGGACGTCGTGCAGCTCCGATTGGCAAAGAGATGCCGAAAAAGCGAGTCCTCTAGCTGTTTACCCTTGTTGTTGTTGATTGAGGTTTCGTGGATGCCAAGAACACCAATCTGCCTTTTAGTGGCTCAATTTCCTCGACCAAATGCACGAAGGCACCATGACTCTGGCACAACGCCTGAAGTAAGTCGCACTTTTCTCTCCTTCTGTCGGTATCTTTCGGATTTCTCGCCAAACATGCCTTCTAGAGACGCGCCATACCTTCTCTGGCCAGTGGCAGCTCTCCTCGTTGACAGAAACAACGCTAACACACCTCCTGCCCTCTTCAAACGATGCCTCTCCGCATTCTCCGTGCTCGCCGCACAGTACGCCGGTGTCGAGGCTGCTCCACTGAGGTATTCTACAAATCCTTCATAAAACTTTCATGGGCTGTGTGTGTGTGTGGTTGCCTTGACGCATGCAACGTCCCCTTGTAGAGGCGAAGTGGCCGCCGCATTCGAGGCCGTCTACAGATCGGCTAGCGCGCCGACGCGAACAATTCTCGCCGCCCACCTGCCCGAGATAATTCGTGGCCACGGAGGGGGTGGAAAATCATGAGCGTAAAGAAGATCTACACTTTTATTCTGCATGTTTTCTTTTTTTTGGGATCTTGTAGATGACATCGAGGGGGGTAAAAGTGGGTTTTTCTCGTTTGACATCCCTTGTTAGTGTGGGAGAGAGAGAGAGGGAGGGAGGGGAGAAAGTAAGCTAAACACAAATATCTCTACGCAGACAGAAATAGACACACTCCTCCGAATGTGGTGGTGGTGGTGGTAGCAGGACAATCTTGAGCGTGTGGTTGGAGAAATGATTTGTCGTAGTAGAAGCGACCGAAGCAATGCTTATCCTACAGCGTCTTCACCTTCTCATTGTCCGCGGATCCTTTTGTGGTGTGACTGCAAATCCTGGTGGGGAAAGGGGGGAGGTGGGGATGAAAACTAAATACGATTGGCTGGTACGCGCACGCGCGCACAGGGTGTTATTAGGAGTTAACTCACCGGTCAAGGAGGACTTGGCATTTCGTGTTGAGACGCCTCATGTGGAACATGATCTCCGTCTGCTAAGGGAAGGAGAGACGCACACGGGGGGTGACGTTAGCGCTTGGGCAGGAACGGGTACCGGTGGTGTCACATGGCTGTTTGCGTGTGTGTTGATGCGCATGTGAAAAAAAGTAAGATAACAGGTGACGTTACCTTGTAGGTATCGACCAGTTTGGGTGCCACGAACGCCGCAATCGTACCTGGCAATTAAAGAAAAACATTCCTCTACAATAACCGGTGTTTCGGCACTAGGGAATCCGCGTCGTGATTTATTTCATGGTTTTTTGAATTTGTCTGCAACCTTGGACGGCCTATTGAAGGAGTGGCACTTGTCTACTCACAAATTCCACGATCTGTCTTAAAATACCTTAAATCAAAATTTCCGTAAAATGAAGCGTGTACATTGGAAACAAAATTGAGTAACTTGTGAAAGGATTTGACTCACCCCAGATGCAGAGTGTCAAGAAGTTGAAACGAGCGCCGATGTACGTCAAGCCATACAAGAGCAGGGCAAACTAGAGGTTAAGGAAAGAAAGAAGGAAGAAAGCGGATGAGACCATGAAAATCAGTAAAGATGGTGGCTTGCTTTGTTGCGAACTCACCCTCACAGAATGTCCTATGTTCCTGATGAGGAACAAGTCGACAGTGAAGTTGATTAGGTTGTTCAATTTGTTTGTGATAATCTGAGCCAGTTCTGTCGACATGCCGGGCGTTAATCGGATATCGCAATTGGCAATATAACTGAAATGCGGATTAAGGATTAACAGCCTGTTGTGGAACCGATTAATCCGACTTAAAAAAACACATTAGATGTTATTTTGGGGTACACAAACAACTTCAACAGATTGGTTGCGATGTGTGGATATTATCATCCATAGGCATGTCCAAAAAATTCCATAAAAACACTACGACATGATCACCGTTATCGAGAACCGTAGACATTTTTAAATAAAATTGTCCAAGTTCCAGGTTAACCGAGCTGGAAAGCTAGAAACAAATTAGAAGGTGGATTTGACCTGAGCCAGAGATTGATACAACTTCGACGAGTTTTACGCTATTTAACGAGGAAGGTGATCACCGATACATTACATGAATTTTGACCCATTTTGAATGAAACAAATGTGTCTATAGTTGAGTAGTCAGTCAAAAAAGGCTCTAATCAGTCAATGTTCTACATCTCTGTCATTTTTATACACACATCGAACCAAATAATCTAAAGGAGACGACAGTAAGTGACTTACTTCAGGGGGTTGCATTCTGGCATATTGACGATACCGTAGTAGACCTTCATGGTAGCCGACACCATCATAAGAAGCAAAATGAATGTCGAAACCACCGAGATCACAGAACAAACCAGGAGGGAGAATTCCAGAATTAAAATGGACGCAAAAACAATCGCGGAAATGTGAGGGCGTCTCCAGAATATTAAATCAAGCACTTAGGTGAGAGATAAATAAAACAGCATGAGGATAATCGCATTTGCTTGTTGTGAAAAGTAACAAAGTATGAACAATACAACAAAAGGAGCCCCTGCAAATTACAAGTAGTGCAATTTGCAAAGTAGTTTTATAAAAGACAGTTGAATATCACCCATATGTCAAGTACTATTAATATATTTCAGCATTGGATAAAAAACTCACAAAGAGGACCTGTCTCTGGTATATTTAGCTTCCTAGACGCAGCAGTGGCTGCAAAATTTAAAAAAAACAAATTAATAGCGCAAAACCATAGGGTGTGTGCAAATAAAAAAACCATAAATCTAACCTCGAAAATCAGCTTCGGTTAGATGAGCGGATGGTTTTATATTGTGTTCATTAGAAACATCTGAGACACGCGAATTTTGTTTCGAGGGGATAATAAATTCCAATGAACTGGGTCCATAATTCGATGAATCGCTTTGCACACTCGCGAGTGGTTCGACGCCATCTATAGGCACATCCAAGTCTGTGATGGAAGAACCACCTAATATTCCATAAAAAAACTACAGCATGCTCACGGTTATCGAGAACTGTAGACATTTTTAAATAACCCAGTATTTTCAACGCGATATGGGCTCACGCGCGCGATGGTTACAAAATTTTGATTGGTCACAGTTATTTATATATACCTGAAAATATTCTAATATTTGACATAGTTACAGTAACTATTCAGTTCAAATGCCCATTATTACACAGAACACATTTTTTCTTTTTTGTAGGCTGAAGCATCAAGAAAAATTGTTTAGTAGCCAGTTATAATAAGTCATTTCAGCAGAACTAGTCAAAAACCCTTTTGCCAATTATCGTTATTTCTGTTTTATATAATGTATACTCAAGTGTAAAAAAGGAATAATAACAATAATTATAAGAAGTTGTCTGCTTATATAATAATCACAATGACTGTAGTGTAAAAATTTGCAATAAATGCTCGTCAAATATATCAGGATTTACAGCAACGATGCAGATATTTCCAGTCTGACAATATTACTGAAAACGGCACCCTTAATATTCATACAGCGAATAGTTTCTAGGCAACTATTTTAAATCTCTTTCCTTAAATGATATCTGGTTAATTCGTTCCTCTAAGTTTCGCTGAAAAGCATTCTTGGTACAATATTAAATCTCTTAATTCAAACATGAAAATTTTTCATTGCAAAGACAATTTTTTTACGCATTAAAATCAATAGGATCTCAAAGCCTTTTTATGTATTGGTGTCGTTAATGTAAAAGTCTCTACAGTATATAACATTATACATGGAATGATTTTGACTATGTTTTCATTTCTGATTTGATGTCCGGTTTTGTCTATTGTTTTTGTTCATAAAAGGTACTTATAAGCACGTCCGTCACTCAAGCACAATTTATTGCGAGTTATAGTAATAATACCATACTGCTCTACTATAAGAACTGATCTCACTGTTCATTCTTACATGTCGATGAATCATCAAGCATTTCGACTGGACAATTTCCTAGAACTAGCTGACTGGGACGGTGGAAACACAATAAACAGTAAATTGTCTAAGCAAATGGCGTGATTCAGTTCAAATGCAGCACATATCAGAAATACAACTCATCAGTGTAGATGCACACTATTTATGAGATAATAATTCACGTAATTACATTCTTGATAACTAATCATTGTATAGATTGATGAGTAACAGCTTGGAGGTGAAATAGGCATGATGCGCCAATTCACATTCAATTCCATAAACTGTGCTACAACTTATTACTGTTTTCTTGTAATTTCCTAATTACAGCCAGACGATCAAAATACAATCTTAATATTAGGTGTTGTTAGGAAAATAGAATATTTGTTTTGGATACCAAATCATGATAAATTGAGCAAGATAATTTAACTGTATCTATGATGATGGAAGAAGATCACCATCGGACAGTCATCCATAGCTAATGGCTTATAACACAAATATCCAAAAGTAATTTCTTGTTAAACAAATGCTTCCCAAGACCCGTCATTATGTTTTTGCTTTTAACAAGAACGATTTCACAAATAGACTTGGAATTTGCAAAAAAGATTCTCATTTATCAAATTAATTAGATATTCTTATCCCGAGTAATATCGTGTAAATGCGAAAGTGAAGTGTAGCAGCTAAGGTCTTACATACAAATTCAAAACGGTGAGGTTCTGGTTATGTCTATAAATACGTTGGAATTTGACTTCGTTTCGTCATTAACGACAAACCACTTGTACCAGTCAATTCCCATCATTATTCTGCTTCCGGTGTGTTCAGTGAATGATTTCTTGCTAACCGACATGTCCGCAATCTTCACTATAATGAGATATAAGGGTTTATACCGGAGAATTTCCTAGAATTAGCTGACTTGAATGGAAGAAACAGGACGAGCCTTTTGACGTACACCATGCCGGAATTGTCCGCGCTGCAAACAGTCGAATGTGTAAATAAATAGCTGCGTCGTAAACTAGGCCTACAGATCACCAATGTGGATGCACCCTGTCGTGAGATAATCGTTTGCGCAACGATATTCATGATGATGGATTTATGGCCACGTATACGACATTCAGCATGGAGGTGAAATATGCATGATAAAGATGATGGAATACTAGCCTGATTTTCAGCTTGTTTGACAGTTACGGCAGTCGCCTCAATGCAACATAATAAAACACCTTAAAACAAAGCTGATTTTGGCATCACTTTACTCGTCACGATCGCGTGACTGTTCAAGTAATAAGCCCCTCCTGTCTTGTGTGACTAACGGCACTTCGGACTGCTTTAACCAATTGCATATATAGCATTAAATGACAAAAATGATATCCTACAATGAACCGCATTCATTCAGCAGGTATTTACGCAAATATATTCTAAAATTCTGACCAGTTTTATCGTCTAAAAGTCATTTATTTTTGCACTTGCGCCTTACTACATTTGAATTCTGCACTCGCCGATTTAAAGTCGTTTAAAT